ATTGCTTACTTGTAAGGTACCTCAATAATCACCTCATGAACCTTTTTGCTGGAGCCTGGGAGACCAGAGATGTTTCCCCACTTCCTGTTCACATCCCTCAAGCCACAGATGATCAGGTAATCTCAGCTTTTAGGATCTGGTCGTTTTCAGTAAATACATGATCCGATAGCATCATGTTATGGGACACAAAGGGAACAGACTCAATTGAATATTTTGCTTCTTTTCAGGTACAAGGGTGCATAGAGCTAGTGAGTCGAGCCAAGAAACCCGTCATTCTCCTTGGGAGCCAAGCTACACTCCCCCCTACGCCAGCAGAAGACATCAGGTAAAGGAACATGTGTTTGTCTTTCACTAATTAAAGTCTAACAATGTCATTTTGTGCGCCGCAGAGATGTATGAAAGGGTGCAAATATGTTTTTTTTTTTTTTTTTTTTACAGGAAGGCTTTGGAGGATCTAGGTATCCCCTGCTTTCTCGGGGGCATGTCCCGGGGCATGCTGGGAAAAGACAGCCCTATCCACATCCGACAGAACAGACGGGATGCTCTCAAGGAGGCCGACCTGGTTCTCCTTGCAGGTTAATTTTTACCGTGAAGTTAATTTAGTAATGATGGTTACCACTCACTCAGAAAAGTAAAGCTGATTGAGATGGGATGGATGACAGTGCCTTGCAAACTTATTCACCTAAATAAAACCCCATGCATTACCTTAATAACTTTGTCCATTTATGTGTAAATTTTATTCCAAACCCAAAATCTATGGAAAGAGTTGAAAATTTCTGTTTACATGTGATCTCCTTCCAATCTGGCTGAGCTGTTTCAGAAAAGGAAAAGGGGGATTTTTTTAGTTTTTTACATTTTTAAGAGTTTTATTTTATTTTTAGATGTTGAGGCAAAACTGCTTTGCTAGACAAAATCATGAAAGATTGTGAATATTTGTCCTTGTTTATTTTGTAGGCACTGTGTGTGACTTCCGTCTGAGCTATGGCAGAGTTCTGAACAGAAGGAGCAAGATAATCGCTGTCAACAGGAACAAGTCACAGCTGCTGAAAAACTCCGACATGTTCTGGAAACCAACTATAGCAATTCAGGGTACATTTGTAAAATGCTGTCTTTATCATAATTAAAGTACCACCTTATTGTTTGCCCATAAATTGGATTATTTATGAAATTGTCAGGTTTCTTGTGCAATAATAAAAGTCTGGAAAATGATAGAATTGGCTTTTATAATTTTCCAGGTTGGGATAAATATGAAAATATGGTTTGTATGTCTTGTTCTATTATGTAAACAATCAAGAATTATTAGTTTTTTAAATATCATAATTAAAAGTCCACAAATACAAGTGAAGTAGCTCATCATCACACTGTTGAAGCTGGCATTGGGGTGGCTTTATTATTTCTGTAACAGATACACAGATAATAAAGCCCAAATGTCCAGAATTTTGTAAAAACATAAAGAAATTTTAATCTGAAAATCTTGAAGTTAAAAATGTGAGAGCCATCTATTGTGAATTTAATTATGGTTATTTATCCTCCCAACTGTGGATTCTTAAAACAAATGACGCCTTTTGAAGTCGGGTCTGATGTTATGCATGCTGTATTTTTTCTTTCTTTTAGGTGACGCTGGCTCATTTATTGTGCGTCTGTCTAAGGGGCTGAAGGGCCATCGCTGTCCTGAGGAATGGCCTCAGAGCCTCAAAGCTGGAGATTCTACCAAAGAAGATGCAAACAGGTGGGCATTGGGAGGGAGAGGGGGTCCTGCACAGTTAGTGCAGAAGATATAAATAATGCACTGTTCATTACAAAATCACTCCTCAAATTGTTTTCAGGGCTAAAGCTAATGAGAAGACAGAACACCACCTAAATCCTTTAAAAGTCCTCCACTGTGTGGATGAGCTGATGGCTGACGACAGCATCATTGTAGCAGATGGGGGAGATTTTGTGGGAAGTGCTGCCTATATAATGAGACCAAGAGGACCCCTGCGTTGGTTAGATCCAGGTAATATACAAGCAACAAGATGATGAAACCAGCAGAATCATAGTAATAAACTCTTGTAGTTAATTTAATCAGTGCCATAGCTGTGCTACAGAATCACTAGCACCAATGTGTTGTGTTCTCTTTCCTTTGAAGTGTCTTAATCCAGTTGGTTAATTTTCCTGTAGGAGCCTTTGGAACTCTGGGAGTTGGAGGAGGTTTTGCTTTGGGAGCAAAACTGTGCCGTCCTGAGTCTGAGGTATAATGTTTACATTTATTTATTTCATTAACTCTCACATTTCATTCCTTATGCACAAAAAAAAGCCATTTTTTTGCATGCTTTGCAGGTGTGGATAATCTATGGAGACGGCTCCCTGGGCTACAGTGTTGCAGAGTATGACACATTTACCCGGCACAAGGTAAACACGTGAATCTTTGACTTAAACATGTAAGAGACTCAGATATTCATCTGATTCAAGAAAAAAGGTCACACTTTGTTCTGATTTATCACAGTGTGTTTGCTCACACTGTTAGGATTTCTCGCCATCCTCGTTGGTTTAGAGATGCACAGATCAGGGCTCTGTGCCCGATTTATGAGCTCTAGTTTTTGTGCAGGTTTTTGGTAAATTCATATATATATACTATCTATTGCATTACAACACTACTGGTCAGAGCAGAGAAGGGTTGAGCTCGCCATGTGGATATTTTAACCTTTTGCATGTGTTGTTTTGTCAGATGTAAACTTTGTAATGTTCTCTGTTTTTACCTTTGGGGTGTTTGTCTTGAGAAATGTTGGGTGTGTGAACACTGAACACATTGGTGAGCTCCACCCGGTTGCTTTTAAGTGAGCTCCACCCGGTTGCTTTTAATTACTTGTCTTGATGCTGTCTTTAATTTTTTCCTCTGACAAAGGTACAGATAATGCTAAGATGATAGTTTAGGTGGAGCTTACTCGAAACTGAGCTGTGCTGTGATTATTTTACTTGATCGCTTTGCTCTTCAGACACCAGTTATATCTGTGGTTGGAAACGATGCGTGTTGGAGTCAGATCTCCAGAGAGCAGGTTCCCATCCTCGGTAGCAATGTGGCTTGTGGCCTTGCTTTTACAGGTACGTATTTGACCGCCGATGTGTGTTGTAACGTCCACAGTGTCGCTTCCCATAATCCAAAGAACATTGTTTATGTAGTTGTATATTGCTAAGCAACAACACTTTTTCAATGCGAAAAAGTCATCTTTCATTTTTTTCCAGATTATCATACAGTGGCAGATGGTTATGGCGGTAAGGGCTACCTTGTCAGACGAGAAGACGAGAACCAGCTAAGTGACATCATAAAACTGGCTCAAAGGGATGCAAAGGAGGGCAAGGCTACTCTTCTCAATGTTTTGATAGGGAAGACCAATTTCAGAGAAGGATCCATCTCTGTGTAGAGCATCTCTGCATTAAAAGCACTCATATTCTTTTATTTTTAACTTTCACTTCCAATGTCTTTTTTTTTTTTTGTCAATTTCAGAAGGGATTTCAGCTTACGATTTAATTTTGAATTGCATTTAATATATCCTTGATGATTCTACTTAGACGTTAGGACCATATTTTTGACAAGTTGACCCATTTGTTGCAATAACGGTCATTCTTGTTTACCTCAGTGATAATATCAACAACCTTCTCCAGACTTTGAAAGTTTGAAATTTATGCATCTGCTGTTCATCGTGTTCATGTAGCACGATGCTGTTCATCGTGCTACCTTCAAGGTTGCAGAAAGCAAGTCTTGCCATTTGGAAAGGGAAATTGTTAATAATCAGATATGTTGCTCTATTTAGGAAAAATAGGAAAAATAACGGGGGATTCAGGATATGTTGGAGCTGTAACCTCCAGCCTCCACAAATGCTTTGAAGAAAGAATTACCTGAGCTACAAATGTTTCTGTGAATGTTGTCGCCTGACAGACGGTTTGCCTTTTAATGTTTGATTGTATCTTAATATGCATTGCTGTGTATACATTGGAAATGATTCTGATGATTCAATAGAAATTAAAGATGTTTAATACTGACTTTTAAAAAATTGTTTTCCTTTTAAATGTGATTACAAAAAATATTTTTTGACATCAAGGTCAAACCTTCAAGTCATTTCTCTGCTGTATGCAGTATTATGAAAAACAAAACAAATAGGCAGTAGAAACATTTTTTTGAAATTTGTATTTTACTTTATCTTTGATGTGGACAAACCTGCTGTCTGTCTCAGAGTTTAATGAAATATTACTTGGTATGAAAAGACAAGTGCATTTTTATGCATTCACTTTTGCTAAATTCGAGTTAAGAAGTGTAACTAAAAAATATTAAAGGTAGTCTCAGATATATATATATTTTTTCTTTTAAAAAGGAGTCTTTGAAAACCATCAACCTTCTGAATGTAGTTTATTTTTCAAACAGCAGATGGCGACCTAGCCGTGGGATTTGCCAGAATTGGATATGCTGACGTGTAAATTCCTAAAAGGAGACTGTATGGATTTTCTATGGTGAAAGAGGCCAATTGAGAAATAAGTTTTGTGGCGAATGTATTTCTTCTCCACTTCTTTTCAAATAATCACTATAAGTTTACTTTTTAGCTAACCGTTTTCTGAAGAAACGTAAAATATTTTTTCATAAACTATATGTTTTCGAAATGAGCGCAATAAAAGGTAAAAAGTATTGTGTCATACTCGTGTTTATCAGCTGCACATCCTAAATTGTGTAAGTAATGCGTGTTTGCGTCTCAGTCATATGTGGTTAGTCATCGTGCTATGTTGAAATGCGCTTTGTAAACATTTAATTTCTTACTTTGGTAGTTGGAAAGTTTTTTTTTTCTTTTTTTGCTATACAGTAAAAAAAAAAAAAAAAACTATCCAGTTTAAGATACGTAAAAAAAAAATAAAACAAATATTGTTGGGGAAACATCTGGTCCATCGCTGAAAATGTAATAGAATTTTGAAACGAGGTCAAGTTAATTGAAATATTTTACTTGACCAAGCTTACAAAACATTAAATATTATGTATTTTACGGTGACGTTCTATTACGGCAGCGCAACACAGTTTTACTATAGCACGTGAAGGCGTCATAAAACCCGGCGCACATTACGGTCGGCGGGCGGTCACTTTTAACAGTCCGAAAACCGTCAATATAGATAGAAGAGCTGCGAGTGGCTCAGACAGCAGCAGAGGTCGAGAGCGTTTATGACACATGACTCATGGGGAGAAAACATTAACTAAAACTATTTTTATTGGAAACATATTTGAGGTGCTAGATCTACTGTCACAATGACCGGAGGCAGCGGTGTCGAGGGAGTTTAATGCGTTTAACAACCCTGGATGTTTTTTTCTCTTTTTTTTGGACTTTGATGAAAAAACCCCATTAAACTTACTCTGAGAAAACAGCGAGGCTATTGTCCCTGGGCTGTCAGTGGTGAGTTTTTATTTCCCAATTTACAGCTTAAAGCGGGCATTTATCAGATTAACATCAAGACTTAATAAAAAAAAAGGAAGGAAGAAAAACGCCACGAAGGCTTATTGATTTCTGAACTAATTAAAGTGGATCAAGTTCAATCTTGACTGACTTTATCTGACTTAAAATCGAAAGACACCTAAAACTAAGCTGAAGTAAACACTGGAGTTACCTGGAGCAAGGTAAGTGACGTTTACATTTTCTTTTCTTTTTGTTTTCTTCAATCGGACATTAAAGTTTATTTGTGTCCAGTCACAAACATAATTTACCATTGGGCATCTACTAGGAAGACTACGGTAATTAAACTGTATTTCTGAACTAAAAGAGAATATAGATTTAAAATGATTTGAACCAAAATATTTTGTTATAAAGTTAAAAAATGTAGTGGCCACAATGTTATTGATAAAAAGCCTATAGTCTCTACCATTAGGTGAAGTGTTTTTCCGGAAGGAAATGAATAAAATATTTCCTGGTTGTATAGCATGGACAGTGTTGGGTAAGACAGGATGAAGTATTTATTGGGATCTTTGATGAGAAATGATACTGATAATTTTATCTGATAAGAGTTTATGTATTGTGTTAGGACTTCACAATACATCACAGTAATCATTGCAATATCACTTTGCATTAATAATAGTGCAAAGTGCTGTTTGGGATGCAGTAATTGTTTTTGTTTTATGTTTCAGGAATTAATGTTTTGCAAACCAATAAGATATTTATCTTATTGCAGTATGGAGAGCTGAAAGGGACAAAATAAAATAAACACATCATTTAATATTTTCATAGGTAATGTAAATAATTGAAATACTTTATTTAGTAGACAAAATATTACTTTAAATCATTAAAATGCAAACTTATACATATAAAAATTAAATGTGTATTTAATTATTTCATGGTACAAAGTCAAACTCACCCCTCAAACTCTATGGGCATTTTAACCCTCAGCACAGTGATTTTCTAATGGCAGCCAACAAACAAAACATTCATTCATTAATGTTCTGGATTTGAAACTCCTTCACTTTCAAGAGGACAGTGGTGTCCTCACAGACCCCTTAGTTGGTGTGACAACCAAGGGGTAATACAGTTTTTCCCCTGGGGATCTCAGACCTCTCTTCCAAGGGAAATCCAGCCAAGAGAGTAGGGGTGGCATTCAACTTAAATATCACACAAAGCAACAGTAAGTTATACTACAAAGCTTAAGTTCAGACTTATCTCATGGCAAAAATACAAGAACTGCCTTTCCCTGATTCAGTTTGTAGTCTCTGAATCACTATTTTCAAAATTCCTTTGGAACGGAGATTGTTACTCCATTGTTTCCTTTGTGGCATAAAATTAAGACGTAATTTTGCCAGAATCGATTTGCATGTGAACACATCATGACTGAGGTGATGCCCATGTAGGGATGTCTAGTTTCCACTAGCGTGGAAAAGACAAAATTGGATGAGAAAACCACGGTTAATAGTGACGTCATTGTCCTGTGACCTTCACTACTACTAAGATGCACAAAAAATTCTGAAAAACTGCTTTCAAAATGACTTTTGAAAATAGAAAAGAGGTGCAGAGTTTGTCTTTGATACAATCCTAATTAGAGCTTCAACTTTGATGTGCATCTTCCTTCCATTAGCGCTGAATTGAAAAACTGAGCTCAGAATGGTCTATGCTTTATTTACATATAAGGTAATCTATTTGAGGCAACAAATTAACTTTATGGAACACCCACATGTATTTGTAATAAGTCTGAAATTAATGTCCTGAGTTTGACCTATGACATCATTTCAGAGTCACTCAGCTTCTTGTTTAGAGAAACTAATAATGTTGGCAATCTACACAATGGCTGGTTCAAACCAGCCATTGTGTAGATTGGTCAGACCAGCTTCTATAGAGATATTAAGTGTTTGGTCATGTTTTTTTGCAGGAGCTGAATGGCCTCTGTTGTAGCAGTGAAAACTGAGAAGCGTCCTGCAGCTGATTCTCAGGATGCAGAGTCAAACGCTAAAAAGCCCAGGTAAGCTCAGGTGCACCTGCATGCCATTGCTATTACATATTCAGGATTTCTTTGCAGAACTAATTCAAATCATTGGAAGTGTTAAATGAAGGTAGAAGGTAGATATTAGTTTCCAACTGCATGCTAGCATGTTTGAAAAGGCTTTGTTGAACCGTCATGCTGTCAGAGGGATTAGGGAAGCGCCGTATTTGGATCCAACATCACTCGATTTCTGCCTGCCCCAAAGGAAACTGCTGCCCAGCCTGAAGACCAAACGAGCCCCCGAGCTTGTTCTGGTGATTGGTACGGGGGTGAGCTCTGCAGTGGCTCCGCAGGTTCCTGCTCTTCGCTCTTGGAAGGGGCTTATACAGGCCCTCCTCGATGCAGCCAATGATTTTGATCTGCTGGAGGAGGAGGAGAGCCGGCGTTTCCAGAAGCACATGCAGGAAGATAAGAATTTGGTGCATGTGGCCCATGACCTCATTCAGAAACTTTCCCCGGTAAGACCATCTGAGTCTGTTTTTTTTTTCCTTTTTTTTTTTCCTTTCTTCCCTTTCCTAAAGTTCTCCTTTGCACACGCACAAACACATGTTGGACTGCCAGCACTGCCTGTGACCTTTCCTGGAACCAGGGATGTTATGTTTTTACTTCCACAGATTCACATCCAGACATTATTCATACTTTCTCAGTCATGATGCAAGACTTGATTGTTAGGCTTCTTCTGTTAAAAACTAATTTCAGCTAATTCCCATGAAAATCCCGGCAAACTACTGCTACAAATGACTATTACACATCCTAACAGTGACCATTTGTACGTTTATAGGAAGTCACAATCATTTTGAGACCACCACTAGTTTTTGGAAGGTTTCTCATAAAGTCGTGTACTTTAACTGATTTTGCCTCTCATGAGCTTTTGATGGTATTAATGGATCTGTAAAAAGTTTTAGGTGGGGGGGAAAAAAAATCTGCAGTATTTACATACAACCAAACCGGTCTGTTCTGGAGCGGGGCTGGCAGATGGGAGTCTTAATACCGTTTGCCTCCTGTGTTAGTCATGTCTCATCGCACCTTTGACATTGATAAAAACACGCTTTGTTTCAGCACCCAGCCTGTCGGGACAAAGAGAACAAACAGCGCCTTTATGGCTTTATCCGTTGTGTTTATTTCGATCCACAGTCGTGCAGACACCAGCCCACTCCCCTAGGTCACAGACACAGCGGGGTCCAGCGCAGCCGGCCGGAGGGAAGAAAGAAAAACAAAACAAAAAAAAAACAAAACAAACAAACAAACCGGGAATAATGTGAACCAGAACCGCCACCCCATTTCCTCCTCTCCTGTAGCCCAGATTTTCCATTCAGACTTAAAGCTCCACCTGTGACTGCAGTGGGTCATAGTAGAGCATGTGAACTTTTAGTCACTCCATTCACAAAACCTGCGTTAATGTTTTTTCTCTTGTTTTATAGAGATACTTTTACTCTTCTGCGTGTGACTTGTCCTCCCAAAGTGTTACGTTCAGACACAGGTGACCTACTAAATGAAACCTCATTTTTATGACTGTGTTTTACCATTTCCATAAACTGCACTCGTCGTTAATCACTTGTACTTGGAATGCTAATATGTGTCTGGGTGTGAGACACCTGCCTTATAGCCAGTTAGAGGTTTAACCCACTTTCATGGATTTGTGTACCGGCCAAGTTTCTGCACTCTGTAGAAGTAATGAGTGTAGCAACAGGAAGGCTCTTAATATGTGCTGTTCCAAGCAAAAAATAAATTGTTCATTCATCTGTTATTGTTTATAGATTAGTTATCAACTGTTATGCTTATAGTAATTATTTAAATAATAAAACATTTATTTGTTGAAAGCAGTTAGTGAGACTTCCTTGTGAATGAAAGATCATTTTATCAGTTTCAGATGGATATTTTGAATAAGAAGAAGGAGAAGAAGGGTTGTTTATTTGTCCATTTGTTGGTTGTTGCATAAGTTGTGAGTCAGTCCAAGGACAGAGCGATCAGGATGGGTGCTGCGGACACTAGCTGCGGATAATGAGCTTCTTCCTCTGGAAGGGACTCCTGCTGTTTAGCCCATTAGAGCTGTAATCTGTGGAAGTCGGTGGAGCATTTCCTTCCAATCTCAGATCACCTTGGTCACTGCGCTAGCCTTTGCTATTCTTAGCTACCAGCATCTTTCTCACTCTTTGTTTTTTTGTTTGTTTTTGTTTTGTTTGTTTGTTTGTTTTTTTTTGGGGGGGGGGTGATTTCTTTTCTGAAAAGGATTGAGATCTCTGAAAATATTGAGTTTGAAAAAATGTGTTGAAATCCTGATTTGTCCAATTCAAAAGCTAGAACGAATTAACCCCTTTTTCTTAGAACGGAAGATTTTCTTTTTTCTTTTTTTTTTTTTCTTGCTACTCTGTTTAGCAGTACTTAGAGTGAATAATCCTCCTTCAGGTCACCTCAGTCCTCAGATACACATTTTTATTCTAAGAGACTTGATTCGTACATGGTCTGGTCACGTTGAATCATAAGTCATTCTGATCAAAAGGCATTTTGTTTCGAGTTAAAAATTTGGCTTCACATTTGGTCAACTTTGTTTAATGGCCTAGAGGCATTTTTTTTAAATGTACTTTGATTCGTACATGGTCTGGTCTTGTTTCGAGTTAAAAATTTAAAAATTTGGCTTCACATTTGGTCAACTTTGTTTAATGGCCTAGAGGCATTTTTTTAATGTACTTTGATTCTCTAGTGACTCAATGAATAATTATCTTTATGTTCAAACCAGTCCAGCATTTCAGCTCCAGTAAATACTTGATGATAAATGTTCAAGTAACACTGTCCATATCTTTGTCTCTTTATTTCTAAGTAGTCCTTCTCCGTCTTGTTCTGATGTCTGGTCATATGAAAATATGTCATATACTTAACTTGGTTATATAAGGTATTTTCTGCTCGAGGAGAACAGTATTTTTTCTCCACTCAGTGTTTAAATCCTGATTTCAGACTCCTCTAATTACTTAAACGTCACCATCTGCGTTAAGTGGCACCCCTGGTAAGATTGTAAAGCTAAATTAATCTTTTTTTGCCTTTTTGGGGAGGGAATCCTAAGTTAATTTGTTTGTGCTATGGCACGACTACTGCCTGAGGGTACTCTGGCTTCTTCCTGCAGTCCAAAAGTATGACAGTTAGATTAAATGATCTCTAAATTGCCCTTACGTGTACCATAAAGTAGAGTTTGATCAAAGATTTTCTATTATTAATAATGTAGTCAAAGTTTTCTATAAACTTTTTATTTCAGGGAAGACATTACTTTAGAGACAATTCTGCAATTTCTGGTGGCTTTGTTTTTTATTTTTATTTTTTTCAGTTTCATCAGCACCTGTTGGTGACGTCCTTTCAGGTCAGCTTTGTTCATCAAAAATTTAGAAATAAAATCTAATGGGAAAGTGTAGAAAGCACAAGTGACACAATGATTTGAGGATTGAACAAGCAGCTTTGAGGACTTCAGTTCTGTTTTGAGAAATGCACCAAGGGGGAGTGTGCTGTGTACAAAGACATTTTAAAGAAGGGCTGCGGTTGCCTTGTGCCATTATGTTTCCTAGAGGACGGGAAATGTTCGATCCACGTTCTTCAAAGACTGTCTGTACGAAGTGTTTGACAACTTGGAGTGCAAGATGGAGCACGCAGGGAAACACCTCTTGCGATCTGTGCTGCAGTTGATGGAGAGCGGCGCGTTGGTGCTTACCACCAACTTCGACAACCTGCTGGAGATCTACGCAGCCCACCAGGGCACCAAGCTGGAGTCTTTAGACCTGACCGATGAAAAGAAGGTAAACTCTGCTTCGACTGGGGCACTAATTGGTCTGTCCTGTAACAACGCATTATGTCAGCTTTTTTTTCTCCCTTAAAGAAGTGCAAAGGTCACTCATGCATGTCCAGCAGTGATTTCTAGTTTATTACATAAGTCTCATACAGTAGCTTAAAAATGGGGAATACAAGTTTAGTTTTGTATTTTGTATTGCACGCACGGTAATATGCTAGGAAAAAAATATGTTTCTTCTAAAGCATAATGTTGAAATTTTACACAGTGGTGACTAACTTCCCATTCATGACATTGCAAGTATACAAAGTTCCGTGTTGGCAGCTTTAGGGGAAACAAAGATAAGCCGTTTCTGTTTCTGACAGGAGGAAGAAAGTTAAAGTTCAAGCCGCTGATGTCAGATTCTATAGATCTTACTGTGTTTACTTTTGGTTTACCACGGCGCTGAACAGGAATCAGTCTTTCACAAAGAGTTGTCCTGTCATCTGCAATGGCCTCAGCTTAGAGTTTAGTCATGCAGATATTAGATCTGAGAGTGACCTGATGCTTTCCGTCTCAGCCCTGGTATTTATGCCTTGTCTCCACTGGGACTAATGTTCCCTCGCTACTACTTGGTGATCGTACTCTCTGCCCAGCCAGAACAGGATTTTGTGCAGTGGACTGTTAAGTGTACGTGTCTTGTTTGTAGGTGTTGGAGTGGGCTCAGGAGAAACGGAGGTTAAGCGTTCTGCATATTCACGGCGTTTACACTAACCCGTGTGGCATTGTGCTGCACCCTGCTGGCTACCAGAATGTACTGAGGAACACTGAGGTTATGGTGAGTCCTGGACTTTCTTTTTCTTCTTTTCTTTTATACCTTAGTTTAATATTCCAGCTACTGCTTAAAGATGGCACTAATCGTTAGTAGTGTTTGGTTTTCTTTTTACAGCGTGAGATCCAGAAGCTGTACGAGACCAAGTCCTTTGTGTTCCTCGGCTGCGGACGCACGGTGGACGACACGACCTTTCAGGCCTTGTTCCTGGAGGCGGTCAAGCACAAGTCAGACCTGGAACACTTCATGCTTGTGCGGCGGGAAGACGTGGGAGAGTTCAAGAAGCTGCGTGACAACATGTTGGACAAGGGCATCAAGGTAATCTCATACGGCGACGAGTACGGTGACCTGCCTGAGTACTTTGAGAGGCTGGCCAACGAGATCTGCAACCGCGACGTCTCTACCAACGGCTGGGGTAAGCTGCATGAGAGCCAGTAGATCTGGTTTTAGCTCCTTAAATCGGTTATTGTTACATTTTAATTGGGCCAGTTTGTGTGGGTGAGGAGAACTGAAAGAAGCTCTGAATCATCTCGACAGGAGAATGAAAAGACTTAAGTAACAACATACCGTTCTAGAGCTTGAGCTATACTAGTCCCTGTTCCATCACATGGTTTGGCTCAGCTCCACTTTCTCCTTCTGTAAGCTCTACATGGGATACGTTTTAAGCAAGGAGTTAGTCAGGGAGATTTTTTTTTGCTTTGCTAATCTTGATTACAGCAACATCTACTGTGCTGTAGATGTTGCTACTGAGATCAAACAAATGTTATCAAAGATAGCCTGAGTAAATGCAACAAGCAGTTTTCAAATCATGATTTCGTTCATTAAGGGAAAAAGGCAATCCAAGCACAAGCAAAAACACAATTATGAAGCATGTCAGATAGCTGGCTTTGAGTGGAGGAATTCTGACCTTTTTTTTTTGTTTTTGGAGAATTTGTCTAGATTTAAAGGTTCTTGAGCATTAATATCCAAATTAATACTGTGCCTCCTCTTCTTAATTTAATTTAAGTCAAGATTTTGGCTTGGTAACACCAAATCTTTCACTTTATTGTTTTAGTCACTGGTATCAGATCTCCTGGTGTATAATCCAAGTAAACTTGATCTTCAAGTCACAAACTGATAGGCAGATATTATCCTTCAGGAATTTATGGTAGAAACAGAGATCATCCTAAATTGAAGCAAACTTGTCCAGATTTTGAATCTGCAGAGCAGCCCAGATCACCATACTACTGCCACAATGTTTAACTGTCAGAATGATGCTCATTTTCTGAAGTAATGCTAGTTTTACACCAGATGAAACAGTTGCACACCTTCCCAATGGTTCTAATTTGGTCTCATCTGTCCAGAGAATACTTCCCCAAAGGTCTTAGGATTTCAGTGTTTTTCGGAAAATGGAAGACAGACCTCTTTATTATTTTATTTCAGCAGTGGTTTTGCATTTGGAGTCTCCCATGGATATGGGAGACTCCGTGTAATTCTTAGACGACGTGTAATTCTTAGATCTTGAATTACAAGATCACACTGAGAACTGATTAAGTTGTCAGTGTAATTCTATAAGCTGGCTTCTTCTGGGAAGTTTTATCACTGTTCCGTGTTTTCTTCACTTTTAAGTCCCAAAACCTTAAGAATGGCTTAGTAACAATTCTCAGATGGATAGATGCTAATGATTTTGATTCTCACCTGGTCTTGAGATTGATGCATGATGTGTTGCCTTTTGAGTTCTTGAACCTTTCATCATGTTGCACTTCGGGCTTTGTTGCATAGATGGAAGGAAAATTGAACATAAAAGTAGGTTCATCAAAGTTTATTGAAAATTTTACAAGCATGTGTGTGTGTGTGTGTGTCTGTTGGGAGAGGGGAGAAAGGCAATAACATTTTCACAGATTTAATTTTTTTTTCTTTTCCTTCATAAATCAAGCCATCATTTGAAAGCCTTTTGTGTTTCAACAGGTTATCTTTGTGTGATGTTAAATCTAAATGAATTGACTGCTCTCCAAGAGGCAAGTTATCTTGAAACAATAAAAATGAGTCTGTAGTCACACCCAGAATATTTGAATTCTGCATAAATTATGAATCCATAAGGACAGTTTGGCTCAGAGTTTAGATTTTTACATGGATATTTATGTGTTCAACATGCAGCCAATCATAAATACACTGCTCAAAAAAATAAAGGGAACACTCAAATAACACGTCCTAGATCTGAATGAATTAAATATTCTCATTGAATACTTTTTCCTGTACAAAGTTGAATGTGCTGACAACAAAATCACACAAAAATCATCAATGGAAATCAAATTTATTAACCAATGGAGGCCTGGATTTGGAGCCGCACACAAAATTAAAGTGAAATGTTCCCTTTATTTTTTTGAGCAGTACATATATATATATATATATATATATATATATATATATATATATATATATATATATATATATATAAAGTTATGCGTTAAACAGGCAGGTCAGGTTGAACTAGAACTGAGAGGGTTTAAAATCCTTCATCATGCTTGATGAATATCCTCAAACTTTTCTACCTTCATGAAAAATTCAGACCTTGAAGTTGAACTGCACAATTAATTGGATTGCAATTATCAAGGCAGCATCAGTGTGAGCAACACTGCATTCACACAAACCTGCTTTGGATCCCGTTAGTGACTGGTTGATTCGTAGTTCGATAAGCTCATACATTTACAGGGATATGGTGATGGAGGAAAAATATGTCATTTGCTACAGATATGCTGATCGCAATACTTCAGTTTGAAACTGTACTTTTTTTTATGTGCTATGTTTTTCCATGTAAGGAAGATTCCAAAGAAATGTCGACGATTATATAAATAAATCTTTTATTTTGATCCACAGGATCACCTTCACAAAACGCAGAGGAACAGCAGAATGGCTTCAGCACACAGAAAAACCTCCTACAGGGCTAAGACCAGATGCAACTCCTTCACTCGGAGAAGATGCCACTTTCAAGAGACATTTTCAGAATAACACAACTTAAACTTGACCCAAAACTCATTTCCTTAATGCATGGAAAGTGTCAGCTGTGAAAGAATATTTGATTTTCTTAATTTTTCAAATGATATATATATATATATATATATATTTTTTTTTTTTTTTTTTTTTTCAGCAGATTTTTGTAATCCTTTTTTTTTACAGCTTGC